TAGGGTTAGCATTTTATTTGAGAAATAATGGCAGACAATTATTTTTATTTCAAGGATTGGGTTGATCTTTTTTGTTATTATTATTTCAAGCTTAAATTGTTTTATTCAGTTGATGAATAAAGATATACAAACAAATTTTTGTGAGTACTATGCTATATAGGCTATTTTTCTTGGTTATCTTGTATCTTGTGCTTCTGTTCCTCTAAGTCGAGGTAAAAGATCCAAACTTTTCTTGAAGAACGCAATAAATATATAATTTCATTACTTTGTTGCTAACAAGCAAAAAAGTACTGGGGTTTTGATTTTGTTTAACTATTTGTAGTAGCTCAATCGGAATCTGCAAACACCGTGGATGCCCAGCCAGTGGATGATCCGCCATCAGCGCGGTTCACGTGGACAATTGATAACTTTTCGAGGCTTAATATCAAGAAGCTCTATTCTGATGTCTTTTATGTTGGAGGCTACAAATGGTAATTCAATATAGTCTTGTTGGTTTCTGTTGATTAAAGTATTTTGGAAGTAGATTACGTCTTTTGGTCATCATTATTCTTTATTCATTAGAGTTTGCATTAAATTAAAATGTGCTGCAGGAGGATACTGATTTTCCCCAAAGGGAACAATGTGGATCATTTGTCAATGTATCTAGATGTTGCTGCTTCAGGTGCTTTGCCTAATGGGTGGAGTAGATATGCCCAGTTCAGCTTGAGTGTTGTGAATCAAGTTCATAGTAAATTCTCTGTTAGGAAAGGTATTCTCTCTGCTATTGATGTTCGTATAAAGGAGTGACTTCTATTTAGTATAGCCCGCATAGAACACTACTTTTATTTAGTAATGATTCGTGTTACAAAATTGAATACTAGTGGATTCTTTTTTCCTAAGTTACAGATCATGTCATAATGGTCGAATTGCCATTAATAATTGGTTCAACTTTGGTATTTTGGAATCTGGCGATAAATAAACAGTGATTGAAGAAAATTTATGTCATCTTTTCGTGGTAGTTTGTATCTTAATAAAAAGCTTCTTTTTTTTTTTTTTTTTGGGAAATGTATTCAGTATAGTTCCATTTGATTAAGTACTTTTCTATCTACTATATTTTTCAGTAAGTAGTTGTTTAAATGTCAATAAATTAATGAAGAGTGCGCATGGTAGTGTGCGCGATATGCAGTTTGCTAATTATTGCAGGCCAACATGGTTCTATTTTGGTTCAGATGATAAGTTTTCTGACATAGTCAGTCCATTATATTTTGGTTTAGAATGATAAATTTCTTAACATAGTGTAATTTGTATGTCAATCAGTTTTGACTGAAATCAGAGTAAACAACTTGGCAAGGTCTGGTTAAAAAGTACATAGACTGTGGTTCCTGGGAAATGTTTTATTTTGCAACAAATGAGTCAATTTACTACTGGATGGTTTATGAACAAAAGCTTTGATTCTGGTGCCTGTTGGACCAATTCTTAAATGTACTAAAAGGTATAGGGCTATAGGCTGTCTGCAAAAGGATGTGTGTGTGTGTGTGCGCGCGCGCGCGCGTGTGTATTCATAAAAAATGGATAGATATTAATTATAACATCTAAAGGGTACAACACACTGCAAACTGACGGTTCCATTGCCTGACTCGCTAAAAGAAAGTATAATTGGAGATATAATAATTCTCTGATGTGATATATGATGACGAGGTGGCATTACTCGTTTACTACCTTTCTCCTTTAATAGAAATATGCCTTTATTTATTACTACAATTTTTTTGGGTGTTCACAATATAATGCCTGTTATAATTGTGTCTTATTGCATTTTGCAGAAACTCAACATCAGTTCAATGCACGTGAGAGTGATTGGGGATTCACTTCATTCATGCCTCTTGGTGAATTATATGATCCTGGTAGAGGGTATCTTGTGAATGATACATGCATAGTTGAAGCTGATGTTGCTGTACGTAGAGTTGTTGATTACTGGTCACATGACTCTAAAAAAGAAACTGGTTATGTTGGACTTAAGAACCAAGGAGCTACGTGCTATATGAATTCTCTTCTCCAAACTTTGTATCATATCCCTTACTTTAGAAAGGTGAAGCATATATGCCTCTCTCTTTGTAATCTGTCTTATCGATGTTCTTTACAAGGAAGCCCACAAAACATTTAATTGTTATACTTATTCCAGGCTGTGTATCATATGCCAACCACCGAGAATGATAATCCATCGGGGAGCATCCCCTTAGCTTTGCAGAGTTTATTTTATAAGCTTCAGTACAGTGATACTAGTGTAGCAACAAAGGAGTTGACCAAGTCTTTTGGATGGGATACTTATGATTCATTCATGCAGCATGATGTCCAAGAACTCAATAGGGTTCTTTGTGAAAAGCTTGAGGATAAGATGAAGGTATTAATATGAGGCCTCAGAATTCTGCAACATTATGCTAATACTAATGTCTACATTTTGGATTGTTCTGATGGTCCAGGGAACTGTTGTTGAGGGTACTATACAGCAATTGTTTGAAGGGCACCACATGAACTACATAGAATGCATCAATGTGGACTATAAATCAACAAGAAAAGAATCATTTTATGGTAAATAATTTAGGTTGTTCTAGATACTTTGTCACCACCTATTTTATGGGCCTTATGGTTCCTTTTGTTTAAATGTAGATCTTCAGCTTGATGTTAAGGGCTGTAGGGATGTTTATGCTTCTTTTGACAAATATGTGGAAGTCGAGCGTCTTGAAGGTGACAATAAGTACCATGCTGAACAGTATGGTTTGCAGGTAAATTAGGTTCAAATAGTCTAAAACAATTTGATTTTTATTTATTTGAAAATTTATTCCTTCACATGTATTTTGATTTGTCCTCTCTTAAAAACAAATTGAATTTGAAGATGTCTCTCCTTTTTCTTCCCCCCTAGGATGCGAGGAAAGGTGTTCTGTTTATTGATTTTCCACCTGTCCTTCAACTTCAGCTAAAGCGGTTTGAGTATGATTTTATACGGGATACCATGGTAAAGGTAAGCAATTGGCAGATAAAACTTGTGTTTTTGTTTTTTTGTTTTTTGTTTTTTGTTTTTTGGTTTTGTGGTTTGTGTGTGTGTGTGTGTGTGTGTGTGTGGTGTTTGTTCTTCTCTCTCTAGTAACGTTTGTGGCTGTTCTGTCTTCCCAACCAATACTCCGAGTTTAAAGTTCTAAATTTCCTTGGAGAAAAGAAACTGATTAATAATTTTATTTCAGTCGGACTAATTTATCTATAATATCAAAGAATATTCAAGTAGTTCATATTTGCTTATCAAACTGTATTTGTCATCACAATTACATGGATGATTTTTCTTTTGTCTGCACTTGTAATTTTGCTGTTAAATATGTGCCTGGAATCACTTGTTCCACTGATTTCCAACAGATAAATGACCGCTATGAGTTCCCTTTGCAACTTGATCTTGATAGGGAGAGTGGTAAATATCTCTCACCTGATGCTGACAGGAGCATCCGCAACCTTTACACTCTTCATAGGTATTGGTCATTTTGTTTTATTGACGTAGCATCTGCTTTGTCATACATAAATTGTTAGTTCGATACTGTCAGATGTATTTTTGGCTGTACTGTTTATTAATTATGTTCTACCAATATATTTGATGACGTACTTTAAACATCTGCATCACTTGTGGGAGGCATTATACTGATCTTGGGTAAAAGGTTAAGAGAAAGTTATCTTGAAGTTTAATCAAAATAGTTTGCATAGTCCATATGATCATATTGATATTTCAAATTGCATCTTGCATAATTGTGTTAATGGTAATCACAATTTTCGTGTCGAAACTTTGCACGAAATTGAATGTGTGGGCGTAGTGTGAGGACATGTTTTGCTATTATATTAATACATCTGATCACGTGCTCCTTACATGACATCACGCGTACATTTATTCTTTATGACGACAGGTGAGGTATGCATCATATGTGAGGTGAATTTGTCAAATGTCCATCGTTTAATGTGGCATTTTGCATATTTCTTTCCACGAGTGCAAGTTAGGTCGGTCTCGTGGTTGTAGGTAGATTATTGTGATAAGTCACACTTGATTTTTTGGGGTCTTCTTTTTTGATAAATAAATAAAAAAAAGCACTTTTGGTATATGTGATTTTTTTTTTTGACAACTATGACCTTGTTTGCAGTGTTTTGGTACACAGTGGGGGAGTGCATGGTGGACACTACTACGCTTATATCAGGCCAACTTTATCTGATCAGTGGTATGTGTTGTGTTCTACTGTCCTGACATTTGTCTTTGCAACTCTGTGGCTGACCTAACTTTCTAAGTGAGAAAGTGGAGATTTTTCAGTTACTTTGATTAAGAACTATTTCCTAAACTAGTATTTGTTCCACAAAAGCTCCAACCCTAATATCAAAAGTTAGTGCTAGAAGTCTTCTTTAAAATCTGATTTGCCTGAAGTCGGGTTTACAAGATCAGAAAATTGTATCTTGTGATCATCTTTTCAGCTACTATTCTTGGAAAAGGAACTGAACTAATTTCTTGAATGAATATTTTTCCCCTTTCTTTACTTATGTTTTTATTTCATTTTTGGCAGGCTTTGATTAAAAAAGCACATGACTAAAATTGGTGTTTTTTATATAAAAAAATTATCTTCAGATATTCGGGTTAACACATACTCTCTTGACACGAGTTCCTGCATATATTGTGAATTTATGTGTGCATATCTCCTTTCATGATCTTTTTGAAGAAAGAAATCTGGTTTCATGAAATTCTGTCTTCAAATCACAATTTTGGTCATTTGAAAATAAAATTCTGTCTTCAAATCACAATTTTGGTCATTTGAAAATAGCATATAACCAAAATTGTGGTTTGTAAGCAGGACTCACATGAAAATTTTCTTGAGGATAAAATATTAGATGCTTCTTGAAGTGCTAAAAAGGTAGAAAAAAACATCTACCTGCTTCCACCTTGGTGCTTCTTGAGCTTTGTCATGCATACATGCCAACAGGAGAGTTGGAGTTTCTGAGTGTTCTTTAATAAGTGCTTAAGTGGCATTTTCAAACTGTTTTTTAGTTGTTTTTAGTTGTGTACTTCTGGTCCCCATTCTACGTTTTTATATTTATTTTTCTTTGAATAGAAATTTTTGATTCTTTTGGGGAAATAAGTTGCGTTGAATTTTCCTATCTGAGATCTTCCCCCTGCCTCTTGCGTGGGGGCTGTTCATATTTTGTTTTTTTTCTTAACTCAGATGTTAACATGCGTTGCATTTGTTACTGTAAGGTTTAAATTTGATGATGAACGGGTAACAAAAGAAGATATGAAAAGGGCATTAGAGGAACAATATGGTGGTGAAGAAGAGGTAAAGGTTTCGTGGAGATTGCTTCTTTTTTTTTTTTTTTTCCTGTTTTTATTTGATAGTTTTCTTCATTCTTATGTTGATGCTTTTACTTACGACTTTCAACAGCTACCACAGACAAATCCTGGCTTCAACAATGCTCCATTTAAATTTACAAAATATTCAAATGCTTATATGCTTGTTTATATACGGGAGAGTGACAAGGAGAAAATAATTTGTAATGTTGATGAGAAGGATATTGCTGAACACCTGAGGGTAAGATGATTGATATGTATCTATGATCTAAATTGTCAATTTGTATTTGCAAGAAAGAAAGTGCTATGTAGTGTTACTAACTTACCACATTGCAGATAAGGTTGAAGAAAGAACAAGAAGAAAAGGAGCTAAAGAGAAAGGAAAAAGCTGAAGCACACCTTTATACCATTATAAAGGTCAGAACCTTGCAAGATTTTTGACACCTTCCACTAGTCTCGCTTTTGTTTCTTCTTGGTTTGCGTGATATATTGAAACATGATCTAACTTGGATATATATATATATATATGTATATATATATATATATTTGGGAGCTTCTAGGTTGCACGTAATGAGGACCTACTTGAACAGATAGGAAAGGATATATACTTCGATCTTGTGGATCATGACAAAGTTCGTAGTTTTCGTATTCAAAAGCAGATGCCCTTTAATATATTTAAGGTAATGTCCTTCATATTTTTTATTTGATTGTTGAAGTTGTATCATGGTGGAGTTTCTTCTTTTCTCTATGTTTTTTAGTACTATGGTGGATTAATTTAAAGGTCTCCGTTTTTATAGTTTTTGTTTCGTTTTCATACATTGTTGTGGAAATTGGCGTATTTTTTTAAGTTTCATGGGAGTTATCATTTAGTAAATAAAGAATGACAAGAAATTTCGCGACCTAATTCCTGCAGGGCTCTAATTTATTGTTGTTGTCATTTTCAAAAAGAAACGGCACGGTTACTATGTCAATATTTTATTGTTGTCCTAAAAATATTAACAGTCTTTATACTTGAGTAAAAAAAAAAAAAAAGCAAAAACAAAATCCCCACAAAACACCAAAATAACGCCTTTTTTTCCCAGATATATCCGTGTTATGCACAACATGCATTCATGTACGCATTTGCAATTTGCAAGCATAACACACCCACAATCTAACACGCTTGAATATACTTATTCATATTGCAATTGAACTTTGATTCACCAGTTTGGTAATTCTATGTAGCTTAGAATTTTCTTGAGCCTGTTACATTGCTATTATTCTAATCTTCAGCTTTCCTTCAGGAAGAGGTTGCCAAAGAGTTTGGCATACCGGTGCAATTTCAACGGTTCTGGTTGTGGGCCAAGCGCCAAAACCATACATATAGGCCAAATCGACCACTGACACCTTTGGAGGAAACACAATCTGTAAGTCTTTTTATGTGTTTCATGTCTTCATACGTTGCATTCTAGTTTGTCTATGAGTTCTGATGCATCTTTTTCTCAGGCATTGCTTCATTCTAGTATGTATCTTAACTGTTTGAGAAGTGGCAACTGCTGTATTTGTGACAAGAATCTGATTATGTAGGTTGGGCAATTACGAGAAGTATCCAACAAGGCAAATAATGCAGAGCTGAAGTTGTTTCTGGAAGTAGAACTTGGTCCGGTAATGTTTTCAACCAAACTATTCACGAGTTTTACCTCCTGTTTCTTCAAGCCAGACTTGTGTTGAAACTTTTCAAATCTTTTTTGCTGGCACGCCCATTTTTACCATGCCATTTTACCCTTCCTAACCTTTACAATTATTCAGGATATGCGACCTGTTGCTACTCCAGAAAAGACTAAAGAGGAGATTCTTCTATTCTTTAAACTTTATGACCCTGTGAAAGAGGAACTGCGGTACTCTCTTAGTCTCTTTCTCTCCACCATCTTCACTCCAAATTTGAGTTGCATGTATACTCATCATTCCTTTCATGCATCAGGTATGTCGGGAGGCTGTTTGTAAAGGGAACTGGAAAGCCTGCTGAGATATTGACAAAGTTAAATGAAATGGCTGGTTTCAGTGCTGATGAAGAAATTGAACTTTTTGAGGTTATTTTCTGGCTCTTCTTTCGTTTTTTTTTTCCGTGTATGCACGCACACACGTTTTTCTTTTAATATATACAAGTACTGAATTCTTCATTTATCACCCAATTATATTGCCTATACTTGGTTATTCAGGAAATAAAGTTTGAACCTAACGTCATGTGTGAACACATTGACAAGAAGGCCACTTTTCGTGCTAGTCAGGTAGTGATTAATTTTGGGGAAGTATATTCTTATTCATTTAGGTTTTTGGTAGTCTTACTCCAACATGCCTCTGTTTTTCAGCTTGAAGATGGGGACATCATTTGCTTTCAGAAATCTCCTCAAGTTGGAAGTAGTGAACAGTGCCGCTATCCTGATGTTCCCTCATTCTTGGAGTATGTCCGTAATCGTCAGGTATGTCATGTATTCTGTTAATTGAAGATTGGTATCGATGTTTCTTCAGTGTGTATTTGTGTGTATCTGCAAGTTTATTCGGTCTGATTGTGGAGTCATTTTATTTTTAATTCGGCATTATCACAGATGACCGTTGTTCTTCAGTTCTTTTCTAAGACATTCATACCTATAACTAGTTTGGAGTTTCTAAGAATCTATAAGACAAACACTACATGGCATATGGGTTTAAGGCTCAGTATCTCTACGAAAATTCGTTGTGAATAACGTAATGAAAGAAAGCATTTTCATCCTCTCCCCCTCACTTCTCAAAGTTAAGAAATGGCTTTTGGATTGTCACATTTTCTTCTTCATTTGTTATGGTACTTGTTTTCAGCGCTTTTCTTGATAGGATTCAAATTGCTTACGTGCATAGTCACACATGAATTTTTAAGGTGGAATATATATTTCATATTTGAACTGAGGAAGAAGTGCTGACATCTTGAGCTTTTGTTGATTAATTGCAAGTATGGTGTTTCTCTCTCTTTATTATGTATTTGATCATATTATCATTTTTTTTTATTAGGTTGTTCGCTTTCGTTCTCTTGAGAAACCAAAGGAAGATGAGTTCTGTCTCGAGTTGTAAGTTCCTCATTAGCAACTTTCTAGAGTTATATTGTGGGTGATTAATTTTGATTATCTCACATTGCAAATTCTTTGGTGCGCTTTCTTTTCTTTAGGTCAAAGCTTCACACCTATGATGATGTTGTTGAGAGAGTTGCTCAACATCTTGGGTTGGATGATCCTTCAAAAATCAGGCTCACATCTCACAACTGTTACTCCCAGCAACCTAAACCTCAACCTATCAAGTTTCGAGGAGTAGACCATCTGTCTGACATGCTGGTGCACTACAATCAGGTTTTTGTTTCTCACTATTGATATCTTCTCTTTTCTTTGTTTTTTGTCTGTTCATCTGTGTCCTGATTTCGTGCAAAATGTTTTCTTTATTTGTTCAGACTTCTGATATTCTCTATTATGAAATATTGGATATCCCTCTTCCGGAACTGCAAGGCCTTAAAACTTTGAAGGTTGCTTTCCATCATGCTACCAAGGATGAAGTGAGTGCTGATTACATTACATCTCATTTAATTTAAAATGGAAGTACTGCCAGTATTGGTATTTTCAGGTTATCATAGATCCTCAATTTTGTGTTCTCAGGTCGTGATTCATACTGTTAGATTGCCAAAGCAGAGCACTGTAGGTGACGTGATCAATGACCTTAAAACGAAGGTAAAAGTCTCTTTGTGACCTTTTGTGCTTCCAAACTGAAATATTATCAAAATTTTGGGGTCTCTCTCTAACTCATGACTAAATCATTCCTAAAGTGTTCACTGGGTCAAACGAGCATGGGGCAGGTTTGTTGCGCTTGGGTTTAGGAGGACGCGGGCTCGAGCATTGTGTAAAATAAATAAATAAATAAAAATAAAAAAATTGGCCACGAGATTATTAAAAAAAAAAATTCTGAAAATATTTTAAAAGTTGTGATGAGAGGTTTTCTTTGTTACTTTCCTCTCTCCCTTTGTTCACGTTGGTGGTTGTCTCTGCCTTAAGTTTTCTGTTATATGAATTAAAGAAAACAATGTTATTTTGTTTCTTATTTGAAACAGGTGGAACTGTCTCATCCTAATGCAGAAATCAGATTGCTTGAAGTTTTCTATCACAAGATCTATAAGGTATCTGATGAAATTCCATTAAGTGTTCCTAGTATTAAGTTCATAAAGATGGATTTCTTCTCCACCATTTAGTGAATTTTCTTCCTTTTATCTTCTCTTCTTCCTTTTTTTTTGTTTTTTTTTTTTGTTTTTTTTGGTGTGTGTGTGTGTGTTGGGGAGGGTTGGTTTAGATGCATGAAAAATGAGCATGTTCCTATACAATTAGATTTTTATTTTACTCCAAATTGGTGAAGCGTACTATGTTATTATATCCATGTATACAATGATCTGAGCTCATTTGTGGTTGGATGTTCCCAGTACTTTCTGAAGATTTATTTAAATGCAACCTCTTAGTTTGAAGTTCTACATAATTCTAAATGATGTAGAATTAGATTTTTATTTATCTAAAGCATGTTCCTATACAATTAGATTTTTATTTTACTCCAAATCGGTGAAGTGCATTATGTTATTATATCCGTGTATACAATGATCTGAGCTCATTTGTGGTTGGATGTTCCCAGTACTTTCTGAAGATTTATTTAAATGCAACCTCGTAGTTTGAAGTTCTGCATAATTCTAAATGATTCTTCTATTGTTTGCTTGCAGATTTTTCCGCTCACTGAAAAGATTGAGAATATTAATGATCAATACTGGACATTGCGTGCAGAAGAGGTAACTTTGTTTCCCTCTTAGCTGGTTTGGCTTAGAATGGGACGATGTCTTTTTCTGAGTCTTTTCTTGTATACATTTACCTCTTTAAACTATGAAAGATAATTCCTGATCCAGATATCTGTTTCTAAATTACTAATTTATGATAAAAACTTTGTTCTACAGATATATAACTTTATTTTTCGTTCTACAGATCCCTGAAGAGGAGAAAAACTTTGGTCCTCATGATCGTTTGATTCATGTTTATCATTTCATGAAGGACACGGCTCAGAACCAGGTGATACACATCTTCTCTCTCTTATCTCTTTTGGCAGTGAATAATATGATATGTGTATTCTTGTATGTAAACGTTTTACCCCTTTTTCAAATTTGCATTTAGCAGCAAGTGCAAAATTTTGGAGAGCCATTTTTCTTGGTAATTCGTGAAGATGAGACTTTAGCTGAAGTAAAAGTTAGAATACAGAAAAAGCTGCAAGTCCCTGATGATGAGTTTGCGAAGGTATTATCTTCTTTCCTTTACCTTTGTGTTCATTTTTTTGAACGTTATTATGATACAATGTGATCAGGAGAAACATAATTTGCCCCTTTCTTATTGTAACCTTAGCTCATCTTTTTGTTAAATTATTTTTATTCCCAGTGGAAGTTTGCATTTTTATCACTTGGTCGTCCTGAATACCTCCAGGACAATGATATTGTTGCCAGTCGATTTCAGGTTTGTTAATCCTCTCTCTCTGTCTCTCTCATAAATCTTCCTGAAAATTACAATGGCTCACTTATTAATTGTTAAGTTCATTTTAATGTAACTTTTCAGAGGAGGGATGTATATGGGGCTTGGGAACAGTATCTTGGACTAGAACACACTGACAATGCTCCCAAAAGGTCGTACACGGCCAATCAGGTATGAATTTGTTAAATGTGTCTCTGTCCTTGACATGGGTTTTAATCTGTTTAACTGTTGAGAGTTATTTGAACAATAAACTCGTGAATATACTTTTGGGAAGATGGTGCATTGAACATGGTTTTTGGTGTTGGTATAATCTTCCTTTTTACTGAGTAGTTTATGACCGCTGGTCAGTGGTTTTGCATAGCAAAGATTATAGTTACAACGTTTTTTCTGCTTGTATTCTGTATGATACTTAGGTCCAGTCACGATTAGATGCTATTCTATAAGGATGACAAGTAATTCAAAATTTATCCAAGTTCTATAGATGCTTCATATTCAGAGGAGCTACTTCTTTAACCAGTGACATTAAATTCTGTTTCCTAATGAGTTTAAAATTTATACTGAACAGGGAGGGCCTTGTAGTCCTAGAAATTACTCTTGCTCTATTGTTGTTGTTCTTTTTTTTTTTTTATCATTTATTTAATTTATCTTTTTGCCTGTGTGCGCTGGGAAGAGAGATTGAAAAATGGGAATTACCTAAACGTTGGTGTTCAAGAAAGTTCTTTTAGTAGCTTCAGATGGATATTGCTATTTATCTCCTTGCTTCAATTTTGCAGAATCGCCACACATTCGAGAAGCCTGTGAAAATTTATAACTAGGCCCCCCACGAAAAAAAAAGAAGGAAAAAAAAAAAAGCAGATCACTCAAGCTCATTTCATTAAGTGAATTTCTAAGCATGTGCGGTTTTGAATAGACTTGAAGAGGGACAGAGGAAAAGCTTGCGCAGTTTGGCGCTTAAATTACGGTTCCTGTTGGATGTAGCTCACTTCTGTTATAGAAGAGGTGGGTTCAAATTTCGCCTTAAATAGCTATGTATTCTTGCGCATGTGGTGTATTAAGGTGAGGTAGGTCGCATCTTGTCTTCAATTCGTTTGTAATTTTAGTACATAAGATTTTGGATTAGTGAATGTATAGAGGGTATAGGTGTTTGTTTCCCATGTTGGTTTTGTTTTCATCCGATTCTCCCATCAAATCTTTTGTCATTCCTAGAAAGCTTTTAGGAGTATGGGGACTGTGTATAATGTTATATCTGACTCTGAGCCTACAGTTGCTTTTCTTTTTTGACTTTTATGTCCTCCGTTCTTCGGGAGGGAATGATCTTTCGCGATTTTGGTAAATGAAATCAACTCATTTGAGGTTCAATTTAGTTTGATTGATCCTTTTGTTTCTTCTACTCTTTGAAGCTTTCACCGCGGTTTCATGCTTGCGCTTGTGCATATGCATTCACAGGGCCTTGCTGTTGCACGCATGCGCTTGCGCATATGCATTTTGCATGGCCCTGCTTGCGCGTGTATCGGGGTTTGATGATTTTAAATGAGGATTTGAGCCACTGCTTTGTTTATCACTCGCTAGCTCTTTGAGAGATCCCATTCTCTGTTTACAAATCACATCCCATTGAGTATATAGAATTCCATAATCTCATAGATACAACATATAGAATTGTGTGGAAAGTTGTATTCAATAAAAGCCATATGTAAGGTTTGGAGATCTTTTATATTTTTCGAGATTCACCCTTACAATATAGGGCAAAAGTCCAAAAAAAAAAAAAAAGATTTTAAATAAAGAAAATTTTTTATTGTAAAGATACCCATATCTGTACTAAATGAAAGCTTGACAACATATTGGAATTAGAATACATTATGATCATAAAATTCAATATAACAGCGATTCATGTATGCCAATTATTATATACATATCAAGGTTTAAAGATCACCTCCATAAATCCAACGGCATTTGAAGTTTTGAACTTGACCGGGGTTCAAACCACTAACTGATTGTGCGGCTATTTTGATGAAATTGTTCAGATTTTGAAGTCTCGACATGGAACTAGATGAGGATATTGTTCATATTTTAATTTCTCGACGTGGATTACAGGGTGAGGGGGAAGGATATTGTTTATTCATTTGTTCATATTTTAAATTCTCGACATTATCCATGAATTAAAAACTTAACCCAAACTCAACCACTCCAAACACAATTAATATTAGAATGTTCCAAACGATGTTGATGTATAGCAGGAGAAAGGGACGACATAAAACATAAATCTTCATGCCTGTTGATGAAATTTGATATTGATGGTGTAAAGTATAAACTAACTGCCTAGCATAACACCATGTTGATTCTTGCGTTAGAAAATTGGCTAAAAATTTTCGGCAAAAAAAAAATAAATAAAAAAGCTACTATCTATGAGAAAATAAAAGGAAATCTTTTTTTATTATTTTTTACTATTTTTTATTTAAACCTTTCTAGTCAAAAAAAAAAAAAAAAAATCCGTGACGTGGTTGCCAAGTCCTAAGACTTGGTGCGCAAGTATTGGACACGTCATTTTGATCAAGAACAGGTTTGATGACAGCCGCGTTGTATTTTTCATTCGCGCCTCGTCTCTTGACTCTCATTCAGGAGGCTGAAGCCTGCTTCTTAATCTCTCTCTATCTCTCTCTTCTCTCTCTCTTTCTGCTTTTCTCAGGTTCTTTCAGGTTGGGGTTTTCTTGCTCATCTTTGTTGGATTTCTGTGTTCCGATCTGTAGTATATTTCGGCTTCTGATATTTTTCCATGTAAAATTGGTTTCAAAAAGACCGTCTTAGATGGAATATTAGCGTTTTCTGCCAATACTATTATACATATGTTGTTATACATACATATATATATATATATATATAAAATAATCAAAAGTTGGGAAGCTGGTGAGTTTTTTACTTGTTTTTTGTTTTTCTATCCTAACCTGAATTGTTTCGGTTGTCTTTGGTTTGCAGGATCATTTTTGTTGTCATACTTAAGAGCTAGTCAAGATGGTAAGCGGTTTGAGCATGAATTTGAATTAGTGACTTCGCAGAACTGCTTCACTCTGTGCTCGATATGAATGTAATGGTTGAATTTGTTTGTTTGTGCAGGTGAAGTTTACAGCAGAGGAGATGCGGAAGATTATGGACTTGAAACACAATATTCGGAATATGTCCGTTATTGCGCATGTCGACCATGGTATGTTCTGTGTCTTTCGTGCTTTTTCTGGCTGTGGCCACATATTGCACCGGCTTTGTAGATGCTATAGTATAGATGTGAGAGCAATGGTCTAAACTTATGTTGTGCCGACAGATGTTTGTGATTTTCTGTTTGATAGTATTGGTATTTGTAATGAATTTTTTTTAATATTTTTTTTATAGTTAGTTTAGCATCAGATTAACAGTCTTAACTTCAAGTTTACATAAGGATGTTATTCAACTTATGCATACGTAAAGCATCGGCGTGGTGCTTCATTTAGCTGCAAAATTATTTTAGCAGTGGAGTACTGTATGAATTAGAACTCATTCGATTTCTTAGCTTTTCTTAATTTTACTTATAATTGCCAAGTGCATTCTTATGGTTTTTTTCTTTTTTTTTTTTCTTGTCTCAGGAAAATCAACTCTCACCGATTCTTTGGTGGCTGCTGCTGGTATTATTGCGCAAGAAGTTGCTGGTGATGTCCGGATGACAGATACCCGTGCGGATGAGGCAGAACGTGGCATTACCATTAAATCCACTGGTATCTCTCTCTACTATGAGATGACTGATGAGGCTCTGAAGAATTTTAAAGGGGAGAGAGAAGGTAATGAATACCTTATCAATCTCATCGATTCCCCCGGGCACGTTGACTTCTCATCAGAGGTCACGGCTGCTCTTCGTATTACCGATGGGGCTCTTGTGGTGGTTGATTGTGTTGAGGGTGTTTGTGTCCAAACTGAGACTGTGCTCCGTCAGGCTCTTGGTGAAAGGATTAGGCCTGTGTTGACCGTTAACAAGATGGACAGGTGTTTCCTTGAGCTGCAGGTGGAAGGAGAGGAAGCTTACCAAACTTTCCAGAGGGTTATTGAGAATGCTAATGTTATTATGGCTACTTATGAAGATTCTCTCCTTGGAGATGTTCAGGTCTATCCCGAGAAAGGAACAGTAGCTTTCTCTGCCGGTTTGCATGGTTGGGCATTTACTCTGTCCAACTTTGCCAAAGCGTATGCCTCCAAGTTTGGCGTGGATGAGTCAAAAATGATGGAACGTCTCTGGGGGGAAAACTTCTTCGACACTGCTACCAAGAAGTGGACCGACAAAAATACCGGTTCTCCTACTTGCAAGCGTGGTTTTGTTCAGTTCTGTTACGAACCTATCAAGCAGATCATTAATACCTGTATGAATGACCAAAAAGATAAGTTGTGGCCTATGCTGAAGAAGGTTGGTGCCACCTTGAAGGCCGAGGAGAAGGATCTTATGGGGAAGGCATTGATGAAGCGAGTCATGCAGACATGGCTCCCTGCCAGTAGTGCTCTCTTGGAGATGATGGTCTATCACCTTCCCTCGCCTGCAACGGCTCAAAAGTATCGTGTGGAAAACTTGTATGACGGTCCCCTTGATGATGCTTATGCCACTGCTATTAGGAATTGTGATCCTAATGGACCCCTTATGCTCTATGTATCAAAGATGATTCCTGCATCTGATAAGGGTAGGTTCTTTGCCTTCGGCCGTGTCTTCTCAGGAAAAGTCTCAACTGGTTTGAAGGTTAGAATCATGGGTCCGAACTATGTTCCTGGGGAGAAGAAAGATTTGTATCTCAAGAGTGTTCAGAGAACTGTCATTTGGATGGGAAAGAAACAAGAAACCGTTGAGGATGTCCCTTGTGGTAATACTGTTGCCATGGTTGGTTTGGATCAGTTTATTACCAAGAATGCTACCTTGACAAATGAGAAGGAAGTTGATGCACACCCGATCAAGGCCATGAAGTTCTCTGTCTCTCCTGTCGTGCGTGTGGCAGTCAAGTGCAAAGTTGCGTCTGACCTTCCCAAACTTGTTGAAGGTCTGAAGCGTTTGGCCAAGTCAGATCCTATGGTGCTGTGTACGATGGAGGAATCTGGAGAGCACATTATTGCTGGGGCTGGTGAACTCCATCTGGAGATTTGCTTGAAGGATCTTCAGGAAGAGTACATGCATGGTGCTGAAATTATAGTTTCTGATCCAGTTGTGTCCTTCCGCGAGACTGTCCTCGAAAAGTCATTCCGTGTGGTGATGAGCAAATCGCCCAACAAGCACAACCGTTTGTACATGGAGGCAAGACCCATGGAGGAGGGGCTCGCCGAGGCTATTGATGACGGCGCTATTGGGCCAAGGGATGATCCTAAAGTCCGTTCCAAGATCTTATCTGAGAAGTTTGGCTGGGACAAGGATCTCGCTAAGAAGATTTGGTGCTTTGGCCCTGAGACTACTGGTCCAAACATGGTCGTTGATATGTGCAAGGGTGTTCAATACCTTAATGAAATCAAGGATTCTGTCGTTGCTGGTTTCCAGTGGGCATCCAAGGAAGGTGCCTTGGCTGAGGAGAACATGAGGGGCATCTGCTTTGAAGTCTGTGACGTGGTTCTCCACGCTGATGCCATCCACAGAGGTGGTGGCCAGATTATTCCAACTGCTCGAAGGGTTATCTATGCTTCCCAGCTCACGGCCAAGCCCAGGCTTCTTGAGCCCGTATACCTGGTCGAAATCCAAGCTCCGGAGCAGGCTCTTGGTGGTATCTACAGTGTTCTTAACCAGAAACGTGGACATGTCTTTGAGGAAATCCAGAGACCTGGTACCCCACTTTACAACATCAAGGCATACATGCCAGTCGTCGAGTCGTTTGGTTTTTCAAGCACTTTGAGAGCTGCAACGTCAGGACAGGCTTTCCCACAGTCTGTTTTTGACCACTGGGATGTGATGCCATCTGACCCATTGGAGGCTGGATCTCAGGCAGCCACTCTGGTTACCGATATCCGCAAGAGGAAGGGTTTGAAGGAGCAGATTACTCCACTGTCGGAGTTCGAAGACAAGCTGTAGGTGTTTTTTTCGTATCAATTGTGGCGGCAAGAAGATTAGATTTGTAGAGGAAAAAGATGGTACAAGTTGAGAAGATCTTCCGCTTAGTTTTATGGTGTTCTTAAAAGTAGTTTCAAGTCGTGTAGTTGCATTATAGGTGTTTTTTGGATCTAGTATTAGCATTAGTTGCAGTTGGGGCATAATATGTTAATTTTGATCTTTGAGCTCTTTTATGGATATGGTTTTGTTAAATGGACGTAAATTGGGTCACGACTCAATGAAGTATAGTAGAACTTTTTTCCACGTCTCCTACATTATTTGTGACTATTTTATTATTTTCTGTACTATTTGTAGCATACGTTTTATTATTGTTCTATTTTTATATTTGATGGTAACTATTGAAAGAAACATAATAATTAAAAATTCATCTATATGTATATCTATTGATAACTCTTTATGTAAAATATGACTTATCACATCACGTCTTTAATAGTAACTATTGATGGAAACGTAATCATTGAAAACTTGTCTATATATATATTAATAAAGCTTTAAGGGAAAGACATGACTCTAGATTTTTATTTCTTACTTTTGATTAATATCCTTTTAGTCTAATAATTAACGAGATTTTCTCTTGTACGTTAATATACCAGTAGACATATTTTTTAACCGTTTTATCAGCATAAAATCACATAAAAGTCAAAAAGTACGCATATTCAATAGTTAAAAAAACATGGCTTACTGGTCGGCCTGACGTATCAGAGAATCTCGCATAACTATATTAATTAAAGGGTATTAATCAATTAAATCTGTATTAAAATTTATATGTTTTATATATTTTTTTAATTTAATATGATTAACAGATATAACATTTAAAAAATAAAAAACACTCATGTTTTTAAAAAGGAGAGAACATAAAAAAACTCGCTTCTTTATTCTTTGACTTTGTCTTACTTTTCTTTCATCATTTTCCAGTTTCCTGTTCCCTCTCTTTCTTTAAGCCTCTCCTTTTTTCTAAAAAAAAAAAAAAAATGTTGAACGGTTCTCTAAAAGAAAATTAGTCATCAAATCCTATAGAAGAAAACGATGATATATAATACAAATTCAAGTAGTGAGGAATAAGTGGCTTACATAATAAAGTTTTATTACTAGAAAATGCTATAAGTTTTGCTTGATTTTCTTATTATACTTACGTCTCGTTCATTTTACTAATTTAAATTTTTAGTTCTAAGTTTTTACAGTTAAAAGTGTTAGTTTCTCAAACTGAATTTTTTTAAAAAAAAATTATGCAGAAGTTTGATATCGATCGAATCACATAAATTAAAATTTAATGCGATCATTATTTCATGTTAATTTAACTATGAAGAAATCAAAGAGAAGAAAAAGAAATTTACAGTCGTTCGAGTATGACGTTAATCTTAAACTCCTCTAACACCGTCTTAAACTTTAAATTTTAAGAACACCACGGCTCCTTCTTAATGTATCTCTGGATCAATGTGAAGTTGAACGAGTGGACGTTCAAATAGATTTCTAAACACATGAGAATAATGAATGAGAAGATCACCTATGACTATCACTCACTTTTCTTAAAAGTATCTGCTATCTTTTTCTCTGTATTGTTTTTCTCCATCAATTTTGTATGTAAAGACTTTGGATCCATCTACTGCAAAAGAGGCAACAGGGATATCTTCTTCTATTGAGACTGGTGTGATCATCATGGACGGAGTTGTGCTAGAACTTTCGTCAGGGAGCTTAAAGACAGTTTTCACTTGTCCATCTTCAAACCAGATGAAAGTCGGATCAGCTGTATGGATGGGCTTATGATTCTGGTGTAGCTTTAATAGTGTGGATCTTATCTTGTCAGATAAGGATTAGAGTCTTTAGTTCTTAGCCTCAGCTATATAAGGCGAGACATTTATCTTGTTTGAGGCAGAAGTCCTCCATCCAAGAGAACTTTGTAAAGAGTTTGCTCAGTAATAAAAATATGAGTTTCTAAACTTCTTTGCTTCATCTCTGAAATTCTAAGTTCCCTCTCTTATACTGTAATCACTCCTCATCCTAACAAGTATGCTCTGTGCTTGTCTCTAGTAGAGGACCCTGCACATCAGAACGTCTAAGCTTAAGATCCAGTGGTTTTGTCTTTTACCTATTTAGCCACAAGCGGAATAGTTAAGAATCCGCTTTATCTCAAAAGTTTGTGTCCATTGTAAAATAAATCTAAAGGTCAATAGTGTAGATCTTATCTTGTCAGATAAGGATCAGAGTCTTTAATTTTTAGTTATATAATGTGAGACATTTCTCTTATGGACTATATAACATCTTCACTGTCAACAACAGTCGATATTTCAGAGAAGATACTGCTAGTACATCCATCACTCTAGCATTCACCTATATGAGAGAAAATTTTTAATTTAAACAATTTAAATTAAATATCCTCCCACTACCACACTTACTGGGATTTTCTCTCCCACTCTCCCACTCTTTTACGCGCAGCCTTCTTTCTTTTTTCTTTTTAATAATATATATATATTAGCATTCACCTATATGAGAGAAAATTTTTAATTTAAACAATTTAAATTAAATATCCTCCCACTACCACACTTACTGGGATTTTCTCTCCCACTCTCCCACTCTTTTACGCGCAGCCTTCTTTCTTTTTTCTTTTTAATAATATATATATAT